CATTTTGTGATTAATGAAACCAGGAACATATTTCAGTGATCTACCAAACTTTTTAAAATTTACTCTGTATCTTAATGAGAAATTTCAGAATTTGTAATTATCGAAGTCAAAATATTTCTATTGCTGAGTCTCTGACGCTATGGAAGGGTCGATTGTCTTTCAAGCAATACATTCCACTTGAAGCTGCAAAGTTTGGTATTAAAACATTTGAAGTTTGCAAGTCAAGTACCGGTGATTTATGGTGATATGTTGTGTACAGAAAAAGTTTCAATTTCAAAATCTCACCTGCCTGGAAATGTATGAAACAAAACTAGTGAAATTGTTTTAAGTTTAATTACTCCATTGGTAAACAAGGGGCACACCTTGTGGATGGATTCAATGGATGTGTGGATTCAATTCTCTAGCTCTCGGCCATGCAGAAAATCATGCATACCTATTGCGTTGGAACACTCCTTTCAAATAGTGTGACATCGTCGGGTGCGAGTAAAAGACAGGCATGGAGTTGTTGTTCTGTACAGATTTATTGAAAATTTTTTGTATACAATATTTACACTCCTGGGAAACTAGCGCTGTACTCCCAGTACTGCAAATCCCTAAGACATACCCGCCTCAGCCTGTCACAGACCCCAATGGCTTAGCGCCGCTCCTGGTCTCTCATCACGTGGCAACCTCCACACCTTGCAACTGAAGCTCGCGAGAACCCCTGACAGGTGAAAAGTGCCTTCCGCGATTCAGATAAAAAATGAATGATCAGGGCTGGTTTACTCTCCAGCCACCTCGCGAGGGGTTACGAGACAGACCTCCCATGCCGGCGGCATCTCATTCCAAAACGTGGCCCTGGGTGCTATTTTGGAGCCCAGCTGCCCCGCAGCTGGACACACCTATCATCTCCCTCTGCGCCAGTTGATACCTGCGTTCTGAGACACGCCCACCCCTGCCCTCGGGAATGCCCCGCATATGGTGGCCTTTCCCGTGCTGCCAAAGGACTGCGCCCCCTCGCTGGCCTCCTGACGGGTGTGTTCCTTCAGGCCCATTGGCACGAGGTTACAATAGGAAAATGTTTCTAATGTCCCACAAGAAAAGATGGAGGTGAACATATTGCTCAGCGTTCCAGTCCGGTTTCCTCAATGAAGTGGATGGACAAAAAAAACCTGTTAGCATCGTCAGTGAGTATCGTAGGGACAACATGAAAATGGTGACAAGGACCAAGCAAGTAGCACATAAACCACCCTGTGTAATAGATTACAACACACATGGGAAGGGTAGATCTGAAAGGCTTGCAGACCTACTTAATAGAGAGGAAGAAGAAGAAAAAAACACACGAAAATGTTCAAAAGACTACTGAATGTTACTTTTCTGAACACTCATGTTATGGAAGAAGAACCACTCAGTAGTTTGGATAGATTCTCTAAAATTCCGAGTGGATCTCATTGAACAACTACTTATAGCACACTCAAAGGGGAAGAAGAAAACTCCCCTGCCATGTTCTGGAAAAAAACATACAATGCCTAACAGGTCAACCCTTTATTGAAAGGGTTCCTCCAACTAGGGGGAAGGCAAAACAGCAAAAAAGGTGCGTTGCTTGCCACAAGAATGAGAGGAGAAGAGAGCCAATATATTGGTGTCCTGATTGTGAAGTGGGACTATGTTCACCTGTTTTAAAGACACAAAAGAGAACTATTGTTAAGAAATGTGAATTTTTTCATTATTGTAGGGCATTATTATTAATAAATTTGTTTGCAAACATATTACTATGTTTTATAACCCTATAAGATTTCCTGTCTTTCTTTTCCCCGAGTTCTTCGAAATGTTCACTCGATATCAGATATTAGCGTACTCCTTTGAACACATTATTTCTAAATTAAACATGGTATCACATGTTTTTAACATGCTACTGGAATGCATTTGAAATTTTGAATAATTTTAATGATTGTAGGATAATTATTTTTTTCTCAATGTTGCATCTTAATATCTTTGAACTCAACTTATTTACATCAATGTTGGCATGGCATGGAGAAAGAGTTCCTAGGTGGAAAAACCCTTATATTATAGAATATTCAAACTAAAATATGAAATACTCAGAATTGTACCTAAGTAATTTGCAATATTTTATTTTAAAAATTGACAAATGTACAAAATAATCTTATCATTTTAAATATTTTGCTAGTCATTTAGATACAAAATCTAGTCAGAAAAATAAAATCAAGAAAAAGAAATTATTATAACAATAACATTTGTACTCATTTCAATCAGTTGCTTTCCTGGTTTGAGAAAATAACAATTTAGATTTTTGCAATTCTGTGAGTATGTCTTGTGCACCTGACGCAGTGACTAGATTTTGGTAACTGGGCTCCTCACTCGTATGCTAAGCGCACCGCAGCTGTAGAACAGCTGCCCAGGCATGCCTGCTACACGAAGCAACACTTTCTTTGCCAAATACCTTAAGGAATGCGATTGCAGCCGCTCGCCTCTGCAGCGAGAATAGAGAGGGTCATGCCGTCTCAGGACGTCATTCCGCAAGCACAGTAGGTGCGTCATGTCTCTAGATGGCACCCCGCAGGTAGAAGGTAAAAGCCCGTCACGTCTATAGATGACACCCCACGTTGAAGGGTTAAGTGTTCTTTATGCTACCAAAGGTCCCAATCTAATCAAAAAATGTTCTGCGGTTTATAAGAAAAAATGGTTTAAAGAAAATAAAAATTGCCTATGTATGGCATAAAATATTGCAAAAAATACTCTTTAAAAAAAAAATCGAGCATGACTTTTTTTGAAGATCTGATTTTGATGAACATATTTCAGTAAGAACAAAAATTGTATTTTCATGATTGTAGTAGTAGGAAAAAGCCAGGAAAAAGAATTTCAATTTTCGAAAATTATGCCGCGAGTTATTCTCCAACATGAGACCTCCACCAAGTTCTTAAATGTCTTTCAGACTATCCAAAAACAAAATTAAATCAAAATCAATGAAGCCATTTTTGAGAAAAAATTGTTTAAATAAAATTAAAAACTGCCTATATTTCATGCAAAAAATGCAAAAAATACTCAAATTTTCGAAAAATTGTACACGACCTGTTTCAAAATGTATCTCTCTAAGGAACAGATTTCATGAAGGGAAAAATTTCGATCATTAATATTTTAGTTGTAGGCAGTCGAAGGAAAAATTTTGATTTATTTATTTATTTATTTGTTTGTTTATATACATTAATTACAGGGCAATCGCCCAATTATTGAATATCATTTATATTATCATTTACATTTCAGTATTATTGAAAATCATTGAGTAACAGGTTTTTATAAGTTTTTTTTTAAATTGATAAGGTGAACAAAATAAGTGTAAATGCGGTTACAGTTGGCACTGCTACACATTTTCCATAATGGCGCATAATAGTAACAAGGTTTGATCTCGCAAAAGAATATTAAATAACATGCTGTTTATAGAACGCAGATCACGCACTGGATTAGCCCAAGGAATTTTACAATGTAATTCTGAAGAAGTCTATATCATGATTTATCAAATTATACAGAAAAAGTACATCATAATAATCCCAATTGGGAGCGTAATGAGCTACATATTCAATCTAGTTTGCGACTTGAAAATAATTGTGACTAAATCTTAGGAGAATGGAAATATCAAGCTTGAAGCAGCAAAATATAAAAAAAATTGTGCTGAACAGTTTCAAGTCTAGAGATATGGTTCTGGTAAAATTTATCAATTTTCGAAAAATCAGGGTTTCTAACCAACATGAGACCTGCGCCATTCTCTTAAACATCCTTTAGACTGTCCAACAACAAAATTTAATCAACATCGATGGCACCATTTTTTTTAAATGTCTCAGGGGCTTCATCTAAAGTATGCCCAAAATTAAAGTATCGATTTCAAATTAAAGGGGCTTTGACATCAGCTAGATCAACTGGGGAATGTCAATTTTGGACAAAATCGGCTGAACGCTTTAGCCACTAGCATTCACAGACGGACGACCTGACAGGACAGACAGACGCACAACGGATAGATTTGAGGATTTGCTTCTTGGCAAAATGCTAAATTTTTGCAAAAATTACAAATAGATTTTAAGAAGCAATGACATTTTATTAACATGTGTTCATTTGTACCTGGTATATAATTATTATTACCTATATCACTTATACTTAAAATTTATAAGTTTGAAAAAATGTAATTTACTTTAGTTAATTGTTTTTACCTAAATCCTAAAAGTTAGAAAAATTGTAATTTAGCTTATAAACATTTCTATTTTATATTTAAATAGACATGTGAAGAAGAGGAAAAGTGCTCCTCTAAACAGAAGCTTCCTCACTTTCCATCAGTGTAGGACTCTCTGCCCAATAAAACCACAAACCGTTTTTAGTAGATAGAAAAGCCATCCTGATGTCACTTTTGCAACGCATGGGTACATCAGTCTGGTGTTTCTGACCTCATGGTTTATTAGGATTTCCGATAAAATGCATCTTTTCACTTGGGGTAAAAATCATCTCTGTGGAATGCAAATGTTAGGGAAATCATTGAAATACAGAAAACCGTAACAGTCAGCATATTTTGTCTCAAAAAAATTTCCTTTTTTATTATTTATTTTTGTATTTTCTTTTTCTTTACTTTTTCATGAAAATGACTAGAACAAAACATACATGTATTGTAACTAATATTTTTTTAGGGCATATGTTGTTTAAATAGTTTGATTTTATAAATTTTTAATCCAATTTTAGGACTGAAACAAAATGAAGTTGTAAACTGTTACACTTGACAGAAAATACTAAGCATAACACTGACATATTATTATTATTATTATTATTATTATTATTATTATTATTATTATTATTATTATTAATCTGCAATGAAATTAGAGATGTAGACTGTGCTCCTGAAATTGTGTCAAAAAAAACAACGACCGATTTTTAATGTATTTTAACTTTCTACTCTATCAGTTGTTTTCACAAATGCTATTTAATAGTATCATGTCTAATCTGTGTGAAATTTTTTTTTCTAGGCCAATTTTGGATAGTCATGCTTCAAACAAGTGTGTGAGAATGACTGAAGTTGGAGAAACATCTTGCCCGTGTGGACACACTTCTTCGAGAAACAACAACTTTCCAAAAACTATGCTTAGTGAGTTTTTTTATATGTATACATTTTAAAGAGATGTTTTTTTTTTTTTACTTTTTGGGTACTGCAGTGCATTCAGTCTCTCTGCAATAAGTTCCTTGTCAATGTAGTACCTTTGATAAGGAAAAGATGTTAAGTTACATTTTGTTGTATCCCTCTATGACTTACTCTCACCACCCAGGGCAGCAAAGAGAATGTGGGTTACACAAGAATTCACTAAGGCATTGGGGCCATGTTAAGACACAGGGATCGTCCAGACTGGGCCTGGGGACCTGGTATATGGTTCACTAAATAGGTAATAGTTCAATCTCAAACTGTGATAGAGCACATCTGTTGATGGGTGAAGATGGCTACAGGTGAAGAATTCCATTATGCACCATCAGTGTGCATTTAGCACAATTCTTATTGTGTTTTGTTTCCAAGTTCCCCCTAATATCCTGACATCCCATTAAATGGAGTTGAAGTCACAAACAATTTTATTTTGATACATTCTTATGATAAATCATTATTTTCAATTCTTCAGTCCTTAAGAAGGACAAAAAAAATATTGAAGGATGGAAAGCAGAGTTCAGGAAAAAAATTGCAACAGTTTAGTGAAGATTTGGAATATGTTACGTATCTTCAAATACTACAAGCAGCTTCCCTATAAATTCTGTGAAAACTGTAAAAGTCGAGGTGCTTTGTTTCATCATTAAAATCATGGCATTTCAATTAGCCACATTCCTCCATGCATTTCTATGAAGACTGCATTACAATAACTTCAACCATTCAAAAATTGAAGGATGTACTAAAGTTTCATGGTTCACCGTGTATAATTACAAAATATCAAAAACAAACCTTAATAACTAAATATGAAGAATGTTTTTATTGTAATGTACTTTAATTTGCAATATTGTGTTCTAAACTATCTATGTAATGGGATGTTAATAATCCATTTAAGGTTCTGACTTTGTAAAATCTGAGCTTCTATTGCTAAGCTATTTACATTATTCTTTTATTCCATGGAAAATTAGAAAAATTTTTTCAACAGAAAGGTTAGTATGTTGGAAGGTTAGTATTTGTTAGTTTTTTTTGAAAATTGGAAGCTGTATTTTTTGCAGTTCTTGGGTTCAGTTTATGAATGTAGGTATTTTGAAGTACGTATGTAGCAATTTCACAACAGTGACTTTTCTAAGAAACTCTTTGTAAGTTATGTACATTACAGTTTCTGAACAGTTTAGAGGGGGAAGACCAACTTTTCTGAAATATTAATCTAAGAATAATTTTGAATATTAAATTAAATGGTTCTAAAATAATTATGGGTACATCCCGAAACAGTTATTCCTTATATGGCCACTGACCAGGCAATAGATGATACAGCATGAGTAGCTGATTAACAATGAGTATACAGTATTTCACAACATAAAATAGCTGTCAGGGCTCCCCTATGCTGAGGCTTTATAAGTGAGAAATTAGAATGTACGAAATGTACAATTCAATAAGTGAATATGAAGCACGCCTTCTGGGACTGATACAAAAGCTCTTTCTTCTTTGTCTTTTTTTTCTTCACCTTCTTCTTCCCCTTCTTCTTCTTCACCTTCTTCTTCTTCTTCTTCTTCACCTTCTTCTTCATATTCTTCACCTTCTTCTTCACCTTCTTCACCTTCTTCACCTTCTTCTTCTTCTTCTTCTTCTTCTTCACCTTCTTCTTCTTCACCTTCTTCTCTATATTCTTCACCACCTTCTTCATATTCTTCACTTTCTTCTTCTTCACCTTCTTCTTCTTCACCTTCTTCTTTTTCACCTTCTTCTTTTTCACCTTCTTCTTCTTCTTCTTCTTCTTCTTCTTCTTCTTCTTCTTCTTCTTCTTCTTCTTCTTCTTCTTCTTCTTTGTCTTCTTCACCTTCTTCTTCTTTGTCTTCTTCTTCACCTTCTTCATCATCATCATCTTCTTCTCCTTCATTTTCTTCTTCTTCTTTTTCTTCTTCTTCTCTTTCATTTTCTTCTTCTTCTTCTTCTTCTTCTTCTTCTCTTTTTCCACCTTCTTCACCTTTATCTCTTGGGGGTACACCACATTTTACAACTAAATCAGCAGCACAGGACTAAATTTCCTCCCATCTAAGAAAATGGAAGGACAAGAAATGTTTTTGTTCGATTAATTAGTGATTTGGGCGATGTCAAATTTCAAAGTCATGCTTTTCCCCTCTGAAAAGCAAAATTGCATTGGGATTCATCAAGTTTAGTATTGCAATGAAAGAATTTAACCACTTGTAATGATCTTTTCTTTTTAGTGAAATTTGTTATTAAGGACATGATAAGGACTGTAATTAGTAGGAAGATCTTATATCTTTAGCTTTGAATATAGTGATGACCAGCTTTCTTAAAATAGTTTCTATGCTTTTGTTTATTATAAGAAACAAAGGTTTGTCAGTATAAATTGCAATGTATTTAATGACTATTCCCAAGACATTGACAACTCAAGATGTTTTTTGAATATGTTTTTCTCATGATGTGTAAATCATGATGTTGATTAGTAAGAAATTTAAGAAATCTTAATTTGAGAGTGGTTTCAGTACTTTTGCAGAGGATGTAGTTAAATTTTATTTTTATAATGTACATTTCTATTTTGGTAGTTTAAAATATGTGGATTTTGTTTCATGTGTTTGTTTGCAGGGCCTTCTGTTTTGCAAGATTTATTTAAACCCTTGGTGATCTGTTCTTTTCTAGTAGAATTTTACATGTACTTTTACAGTTGACTTTCGATTATTCAATTTATTGAATAATATTTTTATAGAGTGATATGGACAGAGCTGAAGAACTAATTTCTATGGGACAACAACTTTTGAGTAGTCGACATTATTGTCCTCTAGAATGTGTTCAACCAAAATGTTCAGAACTACAGCGAATGTGTCGGTTGCTGTCAGAAAGACTGGATAGTCGTTTGGAAATGCTTGCCAAGAACAAAGAACTTCAAGAACGAATTGAGAAGGTTAGTATATTTTATGGTATACGATTTAGTTATATTTCAGAAAATAATTTTAACATTTTGTAAACTCCCAGGAGTTAATTTCTGTATAAGAAGACTAAGCTTGTGCTTTGGCTGCATAGGGGTCTCCAATCATTTTTCAAATTAGGGCTGTTCATATTTTGCTGCTTGATGCATTGGCAAGTTGCTCCCAGCTCTCAGTGGGAGCATCATGAGCAATTTAAATGTCAAATTTGTTTGCATACATCAGTCATTGTAGAGTGCCCCTATTTGCTCCACACCGTAGCAATGAATTGTACATATGACTCCCATGGAAGTCTCAGATATGAAAACATTCTCAAGTTTTAGAAAATAAAATATATTTCTTCTCATTCACTTTTTATTATAACTAGACTCTTAGTGCAGGGCCTCTTTGCTTCGTCTTCCATGATGTACGCACAAAATTTGCATTGTTGTCACACATAAAACTGAGTTGTCCAACCCTTTGCAATCTTTAACATTCTTCACACATGCTATGCTTCTGCTTTCCTATCTGGCTGCTACCTGCAGCTCTTTGCTCCTGATCCTTCTTTCTAAAGAGCCCTGTTATAAACAAACTTTTGAATTAATTAATAAATCTGTGAAGATGGTTGAATATAAAATGAATTTTATTGGTCATAGTTGATTTTCATCTTCATTTCAATTTCATTCATTTACAGTTCCAAACTTTGATCATGCTTAAATCCTTTCCTGTATATTCCTGATTTACTATAGATGGTTGACTGTGCTTCAATCACTCACAAAATTTAAAAACCAAAATAACATAAATTATAATATAACTTCTTTTTGAAAACATATAACTGTATTTTGTATTGCTATTTGTAACATATTAGAATGAATAAGTGAATGAATGAAAACAATTAAAATACAAAATCACTAATTGTCATCACATACCCAACATATCTTCTTAGAGATTTTAAGCATTTGAGATTAATGCACAACTTTTGATTTTGTGTCTTGTTTGTTGAAAAATAAAAATTGATTTTGCCAAATAAAATTGATGATAAAAGATGCAATAATGTCTGCTGTATGTTTTCTTTGTGTCCTATCCTCTCAACACAACTTTAAACTAGAACTGCTGCTTCAACAGCATTTGCATTCTTTATTACTTATGCAATTTCCGAAAGTCAGACCTGCACCATTTTTATAAGCATACATCATTTATAAAAAAAAATTAAAAAATATTTTGCAATTTTCAGAAATTTAGAGAATTTAACAAAAATTGGATCTGCATCATATTTACAACTGCACTACAGTCTATTTGAGGAAAAATATTGACCTTTGATTTATTTTCAATGTAAAACTAAGGGTATATTTATACCTGTATTTAGATTCCCTTCACAAATGTCAACCCAGCTGATTAAAACATTGCCTGGGAAACCAAAGTATCCCCTGCAATCCAGCCCTGCCAAGTATATGTTTGCAGGTTAAAAATACTTTCTCGGGTTTAACTAATATAATATTACATAACAATAACTAACATAAGAAAGTTATAGCACCACCAGATTCTCTTTTTTGACCAAAATTCATCTTTTCTGGATAGAGGGTATACCATTACCCAAATTGTTCCTACAATTCATAGCAATAAACTATGGTGAAGCATATGTGTCTATTAAAATACCTACTTTGAAGTCTTTTAATTTATAAATCCCATTTGAATAAATGAATTCCAATTTGTGGTGAGAAAAACATAAAGTAAATATTTGTTGAAAAATAAACCTTTTGTTATTATTATTATTATTATTATTATTATTATTATTATTTTCCAGGCAAATAAGTGGTGCACCAAGGGTATTGACCTGCTTGCTTCTCAACAAATTGAAAAGTGCTCTACATCACCTGAATTAGCAGAACAATCCTTGAATGAAATTCAGCAATACATTGCTAGTGCTGAAGAATTTAAGCTCAGCAGTCCTAAGGAGTTTCGGACTTTATTTCAAGATTCTATCACACCTGAGACAAAAGCATTAGTAACACAAGTAATTGTTGATTTTTTGCTTCTTTTCCTTTAAGCATAATTGTGTATTGAATGAAATGTAATTCCTTATTCACTTAGTTGCAATTGGAGGTCCCTTAAATAATAATTTTTTGCAGGTATTGCAAAGGATAGATGATGTTACAATGATGTGTGAAAAGAGAACTGCAAATTTGAAACGTCTTACTTTAAAACCTCCTCGGCCTGTGCAGACTGTTACTCCAGAACCTGCTGTGCCATTGCAAGCTCCTAATAGTGGAACACCAAACCACGTTTCCAAAGGAGTGAGAACATTCAGGAAGGCAAATACGCTTCCAAAGGTAATGGGAAAGACGTAGTTATTTTGTTTGACTTTTTCAAATCATATTACTTGTAACTTGTTTGTAATTATAACATGTGTTATATTAAGAGATTTTCTTGTTGTAGATTGATGTCCCTTCTGAAAGTTGGCAACTTCAAACAAAACAACTAGAATCTTGTGATCTAGGTTCATCTCCTGATAGTGAAAGTTCTAGTCAAGATCATGATGTAATGAAAACAAAGCAAGGTCATGTTCTTGCAGAATTATTAGAAACTGAACGAGTATATGTGGGAGAACTGGGATGCATTTTGAAGGTTAATTTATCATTATTTTCTTGTAAAGATGTACTTTGCTTTTCTCTATAGATAGATTTGCACTAGTATTTACATTTATGTATAAATACATATATTATTTTCTCTTTTTCTTTTTTTTTATTACTATTATCACATTGTACATCATAATTTCTTTTATTGTATTATTCAGTATGTCATGCTAAAGAAAAAGAGTACATCCCGTAAATAAATTATTATTAATAATACTGCAGTAAATTAGTGAATCCATGCAAGAAATAACGTAAGTACCAAGCTGTGGGGTGGAAGAGGAGGAGGGCCTAGTTGCTGTGTGCTGCTCTAAAAACTTGATGTGTGGGGGTGGTCTAATAAGAGCAACAGCAGAGCAATGGAATTATGATTGGTTTTAATTAAGAAGATTATCATCTAATTGAATGTGAAGCTTTTTAAAAGTTGATTTGGTTTAATACTGATTTTCTGTATTGAGTGTATGGATTGAATGTGTGTTCAGTCAAGTGAGTAAGTCAAGTGAGTAGGAGATAAGGGCAAGTGAGCGCACGTAGATGGACACAGCTTGAACTTTTCAAGTTGTTTTGTGACATGTAGGTCATCCTCAGTCTCTTCTGTATAACACCTAAAACCTAATCCTTCCAATACCTCTTGACCTGACAGGCAATTGTGCAATCAATGTAGAAGTGTAATTTGTGTAACTGAGGAAGTAAATCCCACATCCAGAACAATGATACACAGAGATGGGGCTGAGGAATGTCATAGACAAATACGTAAAGGTAGAAGACCAAGTTAGACCCATGACCAAGGTAGTAATGATCGAGGAGAGCAAAGCTGCTCTATCTGGGAATATCCCCCAGAGGAGAGGGAGGTACCGCGAGAGAACTTGTGTCGTCTAGACACCAATAGATGGCAGCTGGGGCAAAATCGGAAAGCTACCCCCAAAGTCATGAGAAAAGGAAACTAATTTATTCAAAAAAGTCTCAGCCATTCTATTGCAGTACCTGTAGTTTGTGATAAACATTTTCAAACCTTATTCCAATTCAACAGACCACTAAATTTAAGACAAAGAATACATGAAAACACTTGGAAAACAGATTCACATAATTGATTAAATCTTAAAAATTCAGGCAAACCTAGAATACTGTAGAATCTTGTAAAATTATATTTGGACCAATGTTACTATTCAAATTAAAAAGAATTGTCAACTAAACCTCACCTCCTTGCAATGCACCAGATGTTACCCAAAATTGAAAAATATTTTTCCAGCTGGATCTTATGTATACATTGAACACCCAAGAATATTTGCCTGTTACAAGAACATTTTTTTAAAAGGATTCTTTTTTAAAAATTTTATTTATTCAACAGGATGAACCCTTGGCAAAAATTAGTATATAGTATAATGATTCAAAAATAATTAGATAATAAAAGCTCAACGAAGGTTAGAACAGTTTGACTCAAAGAAGTCTGAAATGTTTCAAAAATAATTTGCAATTTTACAGATTCTGTTAATGATATTGTTGGTAGTGTAATTAGATCTACAAAATTTAGGGCTAAACAATATTTGATTTCTGATGTCAGTAGACTTAAAGATTTGAAACAAAGGCAACTAATTATCTGGAATACATAATGATTATTCACATTTAGTTTTATGTTTTTGGAGAATTTTGATGTGTAATGACCATCATTTAAATAATTAACTCCAAACTGCCCTATCCTTTTATTTATATATTATTTTTGTACTTATTTATTCATTTATTATATTATTAACTGTAATTGATTGAATTTCTGACCTCAACATACATTTCATTTGTATTTGATTTCTTTGACCAGTAAAATCCTAAATCTAAAGTGAAAATTGTATTAAATACTGTGTTTCTTTTTGTAATTTATTCATTAGTATTTTTTTGTAGGGTTATAAAAGTGAGCTGCAGTCTTCTGAAATGCAAAGTATAGTTCCTTCACTACTCACAGGAAAATCTGATATATTGTTTGGTAACCTAGAGGAACTATTTTCATTTCACGGTGAAGTGTTTCTGCGTGATTTGGAGAATTGTATATCAAATACAGAGTTGGTAGCATTGTGTTTTACACAGAGGGTAAGGCAGATGATTTTTGTTGGTGTTTTAAAATTATTTAAAATATTATATGTAACTTGAAATAATTGATTTAAACTTTTTTTCAGCGAGATGCATTGCATAAATTGTACAGCTATTACTGCCAGAATTTACCACGTTCAGAGAGATTAAGAGAAGCTGTTGGCGAAAAGAACATGTTTTTTCAGGCTTGCCAACTCAAGTTAGGGCATAAATTACCTCTAGCAGCATATCTTTTGAAACCTGTTCAGAGAATTACTAAATATCAATTATTATTAAAGGCATGTATGATTTTTTTCTTGTTGATTAATGTGTTTTATAACTTTAAGGCACCTATTGTTAGTTAGACGAAATTGTTTGCTATCATACAATGTAATTTTTGTTTGCAGGATTTAATTCGTTATAGTGAAGATGGAAAATGTTGTCGAGAACTTCAGGAAGCTTTAGATGGGATGCTTGTTGTTCTTAAATGTGTAAATGATAGTATGCATCAAATTGCTATTACAGGGTTTTGGGTAAGATCTTAAAAATTTAACGTGTAAAGTTTTCAGTTTTATGATAACTTTTATTGATAAACGATTTGTTTCAGGGTGATGTTAGAGAACAAGGTGAACTGTTGATGCAGGGTTCATTTTCAGTGTGGTCTGAAAGCAAGAAAGATCGCTTACGTGAGTTACGATTAAAACCAATGCAACGACATATATTTCTCTATCAGAAGGCAATGCTTTTCTGTAAGAAAGCTGTTAAGGAAGGCCATAACAAACCCACTTATCACTTCAAACGTTATTTGCAGGTACACACATTATATTAATTTTGATTTTGGCTGATCTCAGAAAGAGTGTTAATTAAAATTTGTAGATGACATCACCTTTCAGATGTGCATTGGGCATCCTCTATTGAGTCCTATGCATGGGGAACTAGGGTAGACATTGCATCCCTGATAATTTTGAAAGGGACATCAAAGCCTTGCATAATTATACATTAATTTCCTAAATATATTCAATCTCTGATTTTCCCCTTTTATAAACTTACACTTGAGGTAGAGGCTCTGCAAGCCGTCTGGCATCTGAAAAAGATTGTAAAATCAACCATATTTATTCAATGTATCATAAAAGTTATAATTTTGTTTTGCTTTTCTTTTCGCTTTCTCATATACTACTTTGGATTATCGAGAAAGTATTGTAATGCTGCAATGAAAAACTGCACTTTTACGACAAGAAAAACACTTTATGTGGAGTCCCTGGTACTGAAGAAGTGAAGATAAATCTTGTTTCAATTGGTAGTAAATTACTTCCTCCCAACATGTTCTGGAGTCAGAATCTGTTTTGTGGATCTTTGTTACCAAAAATGGTTGACGGTTAAACAGTTGTACTACCATCAGTCTCAAAAATAGCCCAAGTCCAATTTTCGTTGAATTCTCTAAAATTTTGAAAGTTGCAGAAGTTTAAAATTTTTTCAGCCTCTTCCTACTACTACAGTATGAAGATTGCTTTTTTCCAAATGAAACTGATACTCTACCATTAGTTATAATGTCATGTTTATATTTTTTTAATAGCATTCACGTAACTTTTAAGTGAAATATGGGCAATATTAAAAACTATATTTTTTTCAAAAGTGGCTCCAATTTTTGCTTTAAACTTTTGGTACTGATAGTGCTAAGTGATTAATATGACAAATGCCATTTTGATGTAGTCTTTTGATTTAAAAAAAAATATACAAATGTAATTTTTTGAAACATTGTTATTATTCACATCATGGGCTTGTTTTATATATTTTTACATTTGTGGGTACAGGTGCTTCAAATTATTTCTTATGAAGTTTTTTTAATAACTCAAAAATTTTCTCTGAAAATGAGCCGAAATTTGTGCAGTTTCAGAAATACACAAATAACATACTCTCATAAACAGCTCCAAATTTTTCAATTAAAATTTACATTTAAGATCCAGTTTTACTCTTCAATGATATTCTTGAAGACAATGAAATTTACTATGGAGGTACATGTTCCATTTATAATTCTGTTAATAATTCTATTTCTGTATATATTATATTTATCACATTCTGTTAACTGTTCTGTTTATAATAAGTTTGCAGAAGAAAGAAGCAAAAACAAATTTTAACAATTATAGAGGGATAACATTTCTACCTACAGCATCAAAACTTTTTGGCAACATGCTAAGAAACAGAATTGAACAAATACAGTGAAACATTACTAGTAGAAGAGCAGAATAGATTCAGAAAAGGAAGGAGTACAAAAGTTGCGTCATTTACACTATCAACAATCCATGACACGCAACGAAGTGAATCTACCGACTTCCCTATTATTCAAAGACTTTGTGAAAGCATAAAAGAGAGTGAACCATGAATTAATGTGGCAAATAATAGAAGAAGAGAACATGCCTATAAAAATTAGAAAAGGAATCCAAAACCTCTACACCGACTCTCAGATGAAGATAAAAATGAATAACGAAAATGGATCAATCTCTTTCACAACAAGGGTTAAGACAGGGATGTGACCTATCACCATGCCTGTTCAACAGATATGTCAACCATATAATCAAGGAAAGGCAATAAATTATAAGAAATGAAATAAATATCAATAAAAGACCGAAGATCCAAACAATCCTGTATGCAGATGATATTGTCATCAATACAAACATTACTACAACATTTATCAATAAAACATTGTTAGTATGTTTTGGTTTATGCATACGTAAGGAGTGGAGTCAACTCATGCGGGTTGTTATGGTTCCGAGTGCAAATAAGCAATCCCAGGAAAAATGAATGCTAGCAGTACAATAACATAGTCAAATCAGGGAGAGAGAATCAATGCCCTTGTTAAAAACTAATGGTATGTATAGGAAATGTAATTATGACTAGAGGGAGAGGGATCACCCTTTTCGATCACTGACCGTCGAGCTGAACACATTTCTTGTACGTTGCAAATTATTATTCAGTGGGACGCGTGGTGGACGATGTTATAATATATTAGTTAGGACATAACATTGAGTGTAAGGGAATAACCTTGCTTAATTGTATTATCAGAATAATGAAAGAATAATTTAAATAATGTTAACATCATACAATTTGTGGTTTGATTAGAAAACAGACATGTTTATGCAAATGCAAATTAGATTAGGGAATAAATCGTAACTATGTCTACTATTGAACATTTTTATTTATAGATATTAGGAAATGACCGGTAAGTCGCCCGCCTGAGACAAGGGATAGAGAACTATTGCATACGCATATCAGTTTATTGACAACTATCCGATGAACCAGATGATAATTTGACAGAGTCACGCCTCGACATTTTCTTTAGCAACTGACATCGTATAGTACTATGTTGAGGAGGACGAGATAGGATACATCACTATTGGTTGCTTTCTAAGACTGGGTCTAAAACGCCGTTTCAAACCGTAGTTCTGAAACCCCGGCCGCAGACACGACTCGCATTGGCTTACCAAGACGGAGTTTCAACGCCGTCTGGGCGAGGTCTGGTCATCGGAAAAAAGAAGATATCTTGGACATTGAACGCTTTTCATTCGGAATTCATCCAAGAAGATCCCGAATACATATGTAGATATGAAATAAGCTACGAATATTTAAATTGGTTTTTACAAGGAATGATAATTATCGAGAATGATATTTAATATTAAGTGCGCTAAAATTAATCAATGTTAGTAACTGAATTGCAATAAATATTTTATTTATTTGAAAACAAGGCTGATAATCTATATATAATTGCAATCAATCAAAGAATTCGTTTAGTCAAACAGAAACTTCCAGAAATTGCTGATATGTTCAGATGGCTCGTCTGCATACGAGCAAGTAAGCTATAGTTCATCGCATGTTGTTGACCAGAAGTATATAAAATTATAAAAGGGAAATGTTACTGCAATCAGTCATCAACTTCCTATTGCTATGATAATAGGAAATTGTTAATTATAAAATAGATACTAGAGCAGGGCAACTGAAACTAAAGAAAGAGTAAATATAAATTTTAGTGTTGGCATCAAATAATTGCAAATAAATGAGCAGATCAAATTAATTAAATAAATAATCAAAAAGAAATGTTATGGTTCTTCTCAATATAGTTATAATAATGAAATCAGAAGATCTCTTGCTAATTGCAGTACATTAACTGCATAAAAAAGCTCAGAAACATAACATGGAGATTTCCACAAAAGCAGTGGCGTTTCAAGGAAAAGAAATGAGAAAAGTGATAATTGTCATAAATGGGCAAATAATAGAACAAATATCTAAATTTAACTATGGGGACAACCTCATTGGACAGAGACTGGAAGACCTGGGAAACAAACTTAAGAAATACAACAGGATGAACCGATTAATCAAAAGATACTTCAGAAGAGAGATATGATTAAAGAAACCAAACTAAGAATTCACAATATGATATCAAAACCAAACCTCATACACACTTCAGAGGACTGGACATTGAACGTAGAAGCGTTAAATTAGACCAATTCAAAAGGGATTTCTATTCACGCGCTCAGTAATGACACTAAAGATAGGCAAATGAGTGAAGACATCCAGAAACAAGCAAAGCCAAAATCTCCCAAGTATTTCTTTAAACCCCATATTCAACATTTATCATGTTTCTATGAACCAAAATTTACAAAGATTTCAAGTCCTGCAAACTTACTTTTCATTTAGCCAAATTATGTCATCTTGACATATCTAGGCAGTTGATGTTGTATACTTAAGACTTCTCTAAGGTATTTGATGTCTTAAATCATGCTGTTATTTTAAATAAACTGATGCTGTTAGATATCGCTCATAACTATCTATGCTTGATGGAATCTTACTTGAGGGCTTAAATCATGATTGTACAATATGCTGGCTAAGTATCACCAGCATTTACACACCAACAGGTGTTTCACAAGATTCCAATCTTGGACCACTGCGTTTTGCAATTACAATTAATGATTTTCATGAGAACTTGTTGTGTTACCACAGAGTAAAAATGAGGGCTAGAAGGCCGTCACAAACGCAGCACATTGGATACATTGCAGGCCACTTTGTTTTAAAATGTGTTGGTTATAAGGCTGTGTTCTTGTAAAAACAACAACAACAACAACAATTTATAGGAAGCGTTTGTCAAAGTTGTATATTATTTGTTAAAATATACAAAATTACAGGAGACACAGTTTCAAAATTTTCAAAAAACAAAAATGGTTTCATCATTTTTGATTATATTTTGTTGTTGGATAGTGTAAAGAATCGTGCAGGTGTGTCATGTTAATTAAAGACCCTTATTTTTTGGAAAATTGCAAAACTTCAAACTTTTTTGGTGTCTTCCTACAACTACAAAAGATAAAGAATTTTCCCCTTAACGAAATCTGTTCTTTAAAGATAGATTTTGATATAAGGTCATGTACAATTTTTCGAAAATTTGAGTACTTATGCTTAATTTTACGTGCGAGAAAGTACATGCTGTTTTAGGACCACTAGTTACTCTTTTGAAACAGATGGATTGTTCTGATATATCCTCTTCTTCTGATACATCTGAATATTCTGATACCTTCATATATCATTATTATTATTATTATTATTATTATTATTATTATTATTATTATTATTATTATTATTGTTATTATTATTATGATTATTATTGAATGTCATTGTTTCAGATGTCACAAATAGGTTTAACCGAGTCTGTTAAAGGAGATTCTCGTAAATTTGAAGTTTGGTTACAAGGTAGACAGGAAGTCCACACAATACAAGCTCTAACAGTTGAGCAGAAAGCAGCATGGGTTCGAGAAATTAAACGTGTTTTACTGGAACAACTCGCAGAATTAAAAGGTGAAAAGATCCGTCAATATTCTCTTGCTGGAACCAGCAAGCTCATACACAGGTACATTTTAACATTTATATCGTATGGTTGGTAAAATAACCATGATAGTTAATTGTTTTCCTTTTGGAATTTGATAGAAATTTTTACAGGCCTTTGCGGCAAACTAGTTCATGGGAAAGTCATGCGGGTGCTTCAAGCAATGGCAATTTTAATATAGAAGAAGCTGCGAACAGACAGCCTCCAGCTGTTTCTGAAAATGGCGAGGAAGAAGGAGGAGCCTGGAGTTCTGACTACAGCAACAGTGAAGATGAAGATACATTTACTGACCACTCGGAGGCATGTACCACTTCCATTTCTTGCCTCGTAATAAACTCTGGGGGTAATCTGTCAAAAACGATGCTATGAAATCAATCTCTCGTATTAATAATTCATTGTAATGGATAGTACAATACACATTCAATTTCTTTTAATGCTAATATTATTATTCAATATAAGTGAATAATAACAATAATATAATTATTATTGTTTTATTTTATTTTTTTACTTTCTTATATTATCATTTCTAACCATGGTCTCCTTCACTAATGGATTTTAGGGAGACTCTAAAGGGACATCTGATGAAATATTTGCAATTCAATTGTTGTCATGTCCCATGAAGAAATCGAGTTATGTTCCCCTGGTATTTGTTATAGTTGTTTAGACACCCTGCCTTCTCACTATCCAAGAGCTTGTATATTGAAGATTTATGTCTTCACTTCCCAGGTATCGCATGCACATATATACACGCATCCCTCTGTTATGGGCTTCTTGCAATACTAAGTCACAGCAGTAAGGAACTGGGTCTCATCTCTTCAGGATTGTCCTCCCCCAGTCGTTCCTTTAATTTTCTTGCCCTTACTTGATAAGAAGAGAAAGTGTTGTAATTGTGTGCCGGAAAATTGTGATTTTTTGAAGTAAAAACTCTTATTGCCGGACCCTGATAACAAGAAAGTAGATAAATCTTTTACCTGTAAGTAGTAAATTGCTTCCTTTAGTACATTGTGTTATCAGAATACACGTTTTGTGAGTCTTTGATACTGAAAAATCAAAAAATTGTCTGTCATGTATGATCAAAGCTAGTACCTACACCAATCAAATGATTTTCTGCCAAATTGAAATTGTCTAATCAATTTAAAGGATCTCAAGGCCCAGCAAGTTTGAAATAGATATTTTGATTTTTGAGGGTCCTTTTTTCTTTAACATTTATATTTTTTACAACTTTTAACATTTTCTTAAAAACCTCCAGATCTTTTCTTAATTTTTCAACAAATAGAAAAAAGATACTTAAAAGAATGGCACTGGTTTCTGAATTTCCAAAAATTGTCTAAAGTTAGCAGTAATGTGAGAAAGTATGTGTGGTTGTATGACACTAGTTTTTTATTATATTCAACATACTTTCCATATTTATTTGTTCCAACAAAATGATTTTGAACTGACATGTTCTTCATAAAAATTAAGTATTTTTGGTTTATTTTACTAATAGCAGATTTAGTTTAACTTGACAGCAGCCTTTCTACTAACATATCTATGATTGGTTTTTGCTACTTGCTGATTCAAATGCAAAGGAAGTAAAATAGCATGTCTCAAAACAGCAAAAGCTCTTTGTATTCACTTTGTATTTTGGGAAAGTTTAATATTAAAGACTTTTCGTTATAGAACTTCTTGATTGATATAATATTGTTTTCTTTGAATAAATCAGTAGTTGAATACAGAATGGGTTTTTTTAAATAATATTTTCAAGATATTTTTTTGTATATCAAATAAGGTTTTAAAAGTACTATTGTAGGCTCCTACCATCTCCATAAACAAAAAAAAGATTAAAAACAGAGTCTATCGTTATACAGGATGATGTTATCGAAACAATATCTTGTGATACAATTCACTGGGTTTTGCAGTACCCAATTCGGTTTTGAATTTCGAGTGCCTGGGGCACAGCAATTGCTCTGGCACATTTCTGCACCTGTGACCAGAAGTCGGCACTACATGCATGCACAATGCCAATCCCATGGGGATAATACCATAAATAGCTATAGACAAGAACAAGGCATGATAGATAACTAGTAGTTGTTTAGTATTTAATATTATCGTTAATTTGTAAATGACATAAATAAAGTATCTATCTCTCTTTACAGTATTATCCATATGTGCTGACCATTTCAAATGAGCATCTTTATAGACTCCTGAAAACTTTGTCTTCATCACTGTAGATATATCTAGACAATTACCATTTAGTTTATCACATAGATATGAATTTTGATTTGACTATTTACCAGAATACTAGCAGTATAGCTACCAAGTGTAATAAATAGTTTTTGCAATGGTTTTGCTTAGAAAATTCCTACATAGGCCAATCAACGATTAGAGTTATACTTTGTTCTGCTTTAATCCAAACTCTATTCCAGATAAAACTAATCAGCTTGTGTCATCAGCAAAAGAAACAAGCTCACATGTTTGGATGAATAGTAAAGATACCATTAATGGATAATAAAAAAAAAAAGTATGGGTCCAAGGACAGTTCCCTATGAAACTCCACACATCACAGTTCTCTCCTTTGATTTTTCTTTTTTCTCAATTTTTTTAGCTCGTTAGTATACTAGAGGGGTAAATTTTGATGGATTGCATATTTTTTTCTGGAACATATTTAAATACAATTCCATAAACAAAGTTATAAAAATATTATATGGTGCTCTCTAAAAGAATTTTCATTGAAATAAGTAAGCCAATCCTATTTTAGTAATTCATTTTCTGTTCTAATGTAGTCGTCTGACTTAGAATCAAAATAACATCATGTTGTCATTGTTTGTCCACCAAACTTTAAAATCTGATTTTCAAGATTTTTTCAAAATTTGAGATCAATGAGATCAGTCTATAATTCATAGTATTTTCCTCATCCCCACTTTTATGCACAGGTATCACTTTGACTTATTTAAAATTATTAGGAAAATTTCCTGTTTCCATAATTAAGTTGAACATGTAAGGTAGTGGTTTAAGTATATATTTTGTGATGCATTTACACTTGCTGGTAATTTATAGAAATCCTAATGAACAGAGAATTAGAACTAACATTAAGCAGGTGACTAATTGATTAACAGGATAATTTACTTTCTCAAAATGAACTTTGACTTTACAAAATTTACATTTCAATCACACCTGAAACATCCTCATGCTCACAGGTGCACACATGGAGAAGTTTCAACAACACAGAGCCCAAGGAGCAAAAACAGAGTTCACCCCACTCTCAATACAACTGGGCCTGCTTTGGTTAAATGAGCCCTGTCTCCCTAAAATGAGAAACCACAAACCACACACTTTAGGTGTTACAAAAAGAGAATATGATGTTTAATTGTTCAGATTGTGACCCCAGAAAGTTTGTAGAGCAGAGTTGATTCTCTCAAGTTTGTGTTTTGCTTTTTGACAGCAAATGTAACTTCACTTTCTGTGCAAGTTTGCTTGAGATCTATTTTGCTAGGCACAAGAGGATTGGAGGGTTAGTTATTTGACAGCAGAATATTCAAATCAAATCTGAAGATAGTTTTCCTTTGTAATTCTGTTATATGGGAGTAAACATTTATCAAATATTAAAATTTTGTGTAATAATTAATAATATTATTTTTTCTCTTAGTTTTCTCACCTGGGGTTCCATGTTTCAGAGCTGTTTAGACATTCCTAGATTTACATAGTCAAAACCATGAGAACAATTTGGCAGATTTCAAGGAGGAGTGACTTTTGAGCTTAAGGAATCATTTTGTGAGAAAGACCAAAGACCATTTTTTTTTCTAATTAATACCTTAGATTTTTGTTAAGGTTGTTAGATGTCTTGTTGCTGTTGTTACAATTGGTGGTATAATCTCACTGGTGTCTGAAATTCAGTATGGTTGATAAAAAAAGAACTTGACGAGTCTAGAAAACTAGGAAATGTTCGGGAAATTTGTTGCCCAAACTGTCCATTGTATTCACTCTGAATGCTCTTGTACTTTTACCACTAATTTGCACTGTATATAGATGTTATTGAACTTCAACTGTAAATTTTTTTGTTGCACCATGACAGGTCGTATAAAATGGTCAATCTCAATACCTTTCGTTGTTAACAAATTGTCCAAAACTGTGCACAATTCATCATTGGTAATTGTTTAACATTAAATACATTACTCAATGTATAAACATCATTAAGTAATATTTGATTGTTTCTTATTTGTATGAAGTTGGACTTTTTCACTAATCTTCTTGATTTTGTTGTTTAGGGAGGACGCTTTATTGCCCTTGCTGACTACTGTGCTATGGGCCATAGTGAAGTGTCAATGAAGGAAGGAGATTCCGTGGAACTATTAAAAGTGGGTTGTGCAGGATGGTGGTACATCCGAGTAATGGGTAAGTTTTCTGTTTCATATTGAATGTACATTCAACTTGGTTAAATATAAAATCTATATACCATGATATACCATTAAGTTATTCTTTTAAAATTGCTCTTCTTCTTAAATTCCTCTTGCACGGTAGCTTGGCCTGTTGTTCACCTATTATTTTCCTGGTATTCTAATCATTTTATGAATACATTTTATATTCTATTGCTTCGGTTATAATGAATTCTTTTCATGTGTGACCCTATCTTCTTGTTATATTTTCATATTTCAAGGAGACCAATTTCTGTAAAGCAGGAAACCTAGAAAACACAGGGAAATCTAAGTACAGAAATTTACGGATTACATTCAATGCGAGACTGTGACGACACATAAACAAATGTTTAGGGTTGTCAAAACATACACCACAGAAAGATAACACAGGCTGAAGGCACAGAAGCCATGCCCTCCTTACTTATTATTCCACTTTCTTTTGATACTGTAGTGAATTTTTCTAGCCTTTATTTGTTGCAAATTACTTTCTCAAATATATAATGAAGACAAAATCCATGTTTTGTGTGTCTTTGATTCGAAAAAAAAATTTGTCTCAAAATATGTACTTGTCTGTAAACAACGTTAATGGTTCACAGGATTTTCACCAAAAATTATTTTTCCTTTTACCGAGGGCCATGGCCAAAGAAATTGAATGGATATTTTGGTTTTTGGGGGTCTTGTCTTGAAACTTTTTGTTTGAAACATTTGAAACTTTTCTTAAATGTGGCGTTTCTTTTCCCCCTCGAATAGAGCAAAGTGTGCTTATATTTTTAACAATGGTGTGATTTTCTGTTAAAGCCTCTAAATTTTGGAGGTCTCTGACAATTGTAAACTTCCAGAATTTTTTCAACCCCCTCCACCTATTATATGATTTATGAGTGGTGCTACAGAATGGCGCAGACTTTCTAATACTAGTTAGTTTTCTAATTTCTTTGGACTATGCTAGCTTTTCGGTTTTGCCCCATCCTCTTCCCAGCTGTCTTCTATTTTCACCTAAACATTTTTTTCACTTTTTCTGAATTTTTCAGTCCCTTGAAGGTGGAACTGAAATGTAACTTTAAAAACACTACAGATGCATAAAACCTCATCCTCTATAGAAATTTTTGTTGAAAATTTTGGAGCCGTTTTTTTTTAAAAATGTCATTTAAGTGTGTCTTAAAATGCAAAATTTGAAGCTCTTTTTCATAGAAAACTTTTGTGTTTTTGAGAAAGTTCATTGCAAATCATTTGATTCCCTTGTACTCACAAATGCAATAATGTATACAAATCACTGGGAATGTAAATATTAATGGCGTGAAAGATATTTCAAAAAAATTACTTCTGTATATTTTTTTTAAAAAATGAAAGGAGATATCAAAGGGACAGTTAGTCATTTTATTGACCGTTTAGCATTATTCATTCAAAATATTTGGGAAAAAAAAGAAAGAAAAAAAATAGAGCCATTTTTGAGAAAATTATTTTTCCGCATTTCTGGAATTGCAGAATTTCAAGCTCATTTTCACAGAAAACATTTGAGTTTTCGAGAATCTTTATAATACATTAGTTAGCACAATAGAGTAGCGCATGTACTCAATACAATAATGCATACGAACTGCCATTAATGTAAATCCTAATGATGTGAGAGAGGTATCAAAAGAAATTGCGTTTGTGTAATTTTTTAAAAACAAAAGAATGGAGCATGTGGATTTTGTGTCATCTTATACAGTATATTTAGAGCTATCCCTGACAAAAGTTTAAAGGAAAAAATTAGAGTCATTTCTGGCGAAAGTCGTGTGTGTGTGTGCGCGCGCGTGTGCGTGTGTGCGCGTGTGTGCGTGTGTGCGCGCGTGTGAGTGTGCGCGCGCGTGTGTGAGTGTGCGCGCGCGCGTGTGTGTGAGTGTGTGCGCGCGCGCGTGT